ATCCCATCCCATCCCATCCCATCCCGTCCCATCCCAAATCTCCACCACGCTCCAGAATTTCTCCCATCAAATCAGGAATTTATTCCTTTATCAGCCAAGACCGGCTTTGATCGGGGTTTTTTCCGGCCCCGGATCCCCTGGGATAACTGGGAGAGCTCAAGCAGAGCAAGAAAGGTTTTGCGAGCCTGAATTAATGACGCCAATTAAAAATCGGGGAGATTAATTAGCGCCCTCACTGCATTAACGAACTTAAGGGCAGCACGGAGAAAAAGCTGTTTTATGCCTCAGCACAGCACCACGGATAAATAATAATGAATAAATAATAATGAATAAATAATAAATATTTAATATTTAATATAAAATTATGCTTAACATTAAATTTAAATTAATGAATATAGAATAATAAATATTAAATAACAAATCAATATTAGATATTAACTAATAAGTGTTCACTAATAACTAATATAAAAATGATAAATGCTGATTATTAAAGAATAACTAATGAATAGCAAATAATAACTAACAAGCATGAAATAATAAATTATTAATATTAAATATAATATAGTTGATATTAAACATGTCGTTATGAACATTAAATGATATCTTACTGCTATTAACTATTACATATGAAATATCAGATATGGAATGACTGTTATTAAATGATTTTAAATAATATTAAGTATTGAATGATAAATAATAACGAATTGTATTAAATATTAAGTATTAACTAATGGTGAATAACTAATAAATAAYGACTAATAAATAATGCATATAAAATAATAAATAATAAATATTTCGCTGTTTCTAACAGGGAACAGTCAGAAATTCCCTCCGAACCAGAGGCTCTGAGTGCCTGGAAGTGTCAATGTTTTCCTCATCCCTTTGGATGGATCCGAGTCAGAAAAATAAATCCCAGGATTTTTTTATTTTGGCTCAAAACCCGGCTCTGCTCCCAAGCTTTGTGAAACTGGGCCTGTTCAGCCAAACTGGGATCATCCCAGAAATGTCCAGTTCTCATCCCGAAGCTGCCAACTGCCCCTTTCCCGTCCAAAATTCCTCCACCAGCTCTGTTTACCAGGGATGTGTCCATCCCAATCCATCCCAGCTGCTCATCCCCGGCACGGCCGTGCTAAAACAGACTCAGGTTTGCCCCAAAAAATGGAGGAAAAGGAATAAAACAGGTTCTTATGCCATTAAAATTTAAAATTGAAAAAAAAAAATGTGGGAAATTCTGCTGAAGAAATATTCCATAAGAAATATTCCATTTATCCTTTTAGGTGTTTTTTTCCCAAAAATTGCAGCTGGTTTGCCCACAGAATTCAGGGAATCGCGGCCCCAAGCCACTGATACTTCCCAGGGTTATCCCAACCTTTGGAATTTGGGACGAGTGTCCCACAAATCCCCAGTGCCCCACATCCACCCTGGCAGATCCCGCATTCCCAAACTCGGGAACATCCTGGGAATGGGATTTGAGGATCACGGGGATCAGCTCTGACCCCAAATCCTCCGGACACCTCAAATCTTTGGGACTGACCTCCCTCTCCACATCCCTGCTTCCAGAATTCCCAGAGAGGCCATTCCAGGCAGAATTCCAGGAAAAAGGCTGAGGGTCAGAGGTTTTTTTCCCCCCATCTCATTAATTAAGGGGTTAATTAAGGGTCGGGTTGGAGTTCAGGGGTGGGAGAGAGGGATTGGAATTCTGTGGAGCCAGGAAGTTTTCCAAGGAATGTCACAACACAAACAGCGGGAAGTTTCCCCCATGCACCCACAAAACAGAGGAATGGAAATCTGAAACGGRATTTTGTGGATAAAATCCCGTTTTCCTGACCGAGTGACTCTCAAGATCCCTTTTCCCTGGACAAAGATGTGCAGTGGGAAATGCGGAATCCCAGGACAACTCTCCACTGGAATTCCCTTTGTCCCTGTCCTGTCTCTTGTCCCCTCCCCTCCAGGCAGCCCGTGGCTGATTTTCCTGATAATCCCTTTTCCAGCCATTTTCCCAAAGTTTTCCACATTTCCCAGCCCTTCCTCCGAGGCCGATTCCGCTCCTCAGCACCCTAAAAACCCTCCTGTTCCCGATGCCACCATCCCAATTCCCTCGGCGTGCCCTGCCTGGCACTTCCCGCTCTCGCCACATCCAGCTGTCCCCGCTCCCAGCTGGCAAACGCCCTCCTTGTCCCCAGAAGTCCCCGTGGCATGGGAACGGTGCCCCGAGCTGTGCCAGGCCCCAGGAAAGCTCTGGATCCCACAGGGGTTCCACTCCAGGACACGCTGGGGACATTCCCGGAGCTGACCCCGCACAACCCCGGCCCCAAAAGCAGCGCAGGAAGTGAATCCAGGACCGGGTTCGGGAGCAGTTGGGATCTGTGGTGTCTTTGGTGACATCGCTGTGATCCCAAATCAACCCCAGATCCCTCCCTAAAATCCCTCATAATGAGCTGCCCTCATTATCCCAACACATCYCTGACAATTCCAGCCCATTCCCAGGGCAGCCATCCTGCTTTTTTGGGATTTTTTTTTTTTGTGCCTGAAAGATCATTTGGGATGAGATTCTCCCAGCAGGATCCAGAGGGAAATCCCTGCCCAGATTTAGGATTTTGAGATGGGATTGTCCCAGCAAGAGCAGGATCTGGAGGGAATTCCCTGCCCAAATTTGGGAGTTCGGGATGGGATTCTCCCAGCAGGATCTGGAGGGAATGCCCTGCCCAGATTTAGGATTTTGGGATGGGATTCTCCCAGCAGGAGTGGGATCTGGAGGGAATTCCCTGCCCAGATTTAGGATTTTGGGATGGGATTCTCCCAGCAGGAGCGGGATCTGGGGGGAATTCCCTGCCTGGGAAAATTTAGGATTTGGGGATGGATTTTTCCCATTTGGGGCTGGCTCCCGGCAGGAATTCCTGGCAGGAATTCCCTGCCCAGACAAAGGACAGGATCTTCTGGAATTATCCAGCACATGTCCAACCTCTCTGCACAGGAACACCCAGATTTCGGGAAAAAAGGGAAATTTCAGGAAAAGACAAATATTCCTCTTTCCACCCTGCTCCCTCTTTTCCCCCAGAAACACCAGGAATTTTCTCCCTGGAAATGTTTTTCCTGGAGACAGAGGAAAGAGGGAATGCGGTGTTCAAATCCTGAACAGGAGGGACAAACTCATCTCAGCCACGCRGGGTCCGACCCCATAAACCCCAAAYTTCCCGAGCCGGGTTTAACTCCCTTAAACCTCCCTTAAAAGCCGTGGGAGGGGGGATCTCTGTTGGGTTTTCTGGGCTTGGTTCTGGGATTTTCCCCCAGAATTTTGTCGCGATTTTGGCGGTAGCGAGGGGAGCGGGCGGGCGTGGTTAGGCGGGGTCTGTGAGCGGGGTTAGGCGGGGCCGCGTTAAGCCGGGACCCCCAAAGGCAGCGTGGACTCACCGCGGTACCCGGCGGGGGTGAGTCGCAAGGACGTTTCGTTATGGGGCTTCTCTGCAATCAAACAGAACACGGTGAGCGGGGCCGGGGGACAGCGGGGACGGCGAGGGGACAGCGGGGACACAGCGGGGACGGCGAATTCCCAAAAAACAGCGACACGGCAGGGACACGGCAGCGCTGGGGGCTGATTTCCTTCTCCAAGGGGTGGGAAGAGCTAAAATTGCGGGAATTTTGGGGTGAGAATTTCCTTGGGATGGTTTTCTATTTGGGATCTTGGGGAAAAACCAAAAATCGGATCAGTTTGGGGGAGAAAATTGGTTTTTTTCCCTGTTTTTTGAGTGCAAAGGAAAGGTGTTGCAGCTGCTTTTTCGCAGGGTTTGGGCACAGCTGGAAAACGATGTGGGAAGGCAAGGAGGAGATGGAATAATGATGATAACAATAATAATAATAATAGTAAAAATAATAGTAATAATAATAATAGTAATAATAATAATAGTAGTAATAATAATGATAATAATTATAGCAATAATGATGATGATGATAATAATAATAGTTTTATAGCAAAATAGAACCTCTGTGACCGCTAAAGGGTTTTCCTGTCCCCTTCTGGCATTCCCACAGTCCATCAGGAACTCCTTCTCTTTCGGGAACTCCTTTTCCTTCAGGAATTCCTTTTCCTTCAAGAATTCCCATTCCCAGAGAAGAACCTGCCCTGGAAGGACCCAGAGCCCACGGAAAGGCTCCAGACAGAGGCCCTCGAGGCCCCCTCGGTGACACTCGGTGGGGACACCTGGGGTCACCCATCCCGAGTGTCCCACCGGGTTTTGGAGGTGCCAACCCTCCTGGAATCATCTCCCAAGGAAYGCCCGGGATGTGCCAGGCTGGCACAGCCACATTCCAGCCCCGTTTTCCAAYATCCAATCCCCCCGTGCAGCGCCAGGACCTGGAGAAAAACTCGTCCGCTTCCCAAAGCAGGGAACGATCCCTGGAGATCCCAATCTGTGCCAAAATATTCCCTATTTTATCCCAAAAATAGGAAATTGGTGATTCTGCACTGAGTTTCCATTTCCCTGGAGATGATGGGAATGCCCAGTCTATGTCAAAACATTCCCTGTTTTATCCCAAATTATGGAATTGGTGATTCTTGCACCAAGTTTCCATTTCCCTGAAGATGATGTTCCATCTGTGTAGAAACACTCCCCAGTTTTATCCCAAACACACAGAATTGGCAATTCCTACGACAAATCTGAATATTTGACATTTCCCTGAAGACAGCGAGAATGCTCCATTTGTATGGGAACATTCCCTGTTTTATCCCAAGAACATGGAATTGTTGATTCCTGCACTGATATCCAATTTCCCTTGAGATTATGAGAATGTCCCAACCCTGCTGAACATTCCCAGTTTTATCCGAAACACACGAAATTGGTGATTCCTCCACCAAATCGCCTCTGGATATTTTGCATTTCCCTGAAGACAATGGGAACGCTCCATCTGTGTCAAAACATTCCCAGTTTTATCYGAAACACACAGAACTGGCCATTCCTACACCAAGTCACCTCTGGATATATGACATTTCCCTGAAGATGATGGRAATGCCCCATCTATTGAAACATTCYTAATTTTAYCCCAAATATATGGAATTGGTGATTCCTGTGCCTCTGGATATTTGACGTTTCCCTGGAGATGATTGGAACTCCCCATCTGTGTGGAAATCCCAATTTTATCCCAAATACACGGAATTRGCAATTCCTACACCTGTGGATATTTGACATTTCCCTGGAGACAATGGGAACGCTCCATTTGTATGGAAATATTCCCAATTTTATCCCAAACACACAGATTTGACAACTCCTACACCAAGCCACCACTGGAACCCTAAAACCCCAGCGCCCTCCCTTCCACCAACCCACCCCAAACCCACCACTCCCCACCCTCACCAAACCACAAAATCCTCTCTTTTCCCACAAAAACTCCCAAATTCCCGACCGGAAAACCCCGCGGGATGGAAAAAAGGTCACTCACTGGTTTTGACGCGGAGGGTGTAGGGGTTTTTCTGCTGGATGGTGTGGGTGAAGTGGAAACGGGCGTTGCAGCTGTAGTCGGTCAGCGCGTCCTGCGCCAGAACGTTGGCGAAATAAAGGTCCCCGTTGTGACCCTGTGACACCCTCTTGTCCTGCGGGATCGGCTCCATGGCTGCGGGGAAAAAACGGGAATGGGGGCGGAGGGGAAAAAGGGATGGGGTGGTTGAGGTGCGGGTTGGTGGCGGTGGTATTGAAGTAGGAGGAAGGGCCCTAAATTGGTAGGAACCATCCTAAATTGGCAGGAACCATCCTAAAGTGGCAGGAATTACCTTAAATTAGCAGGAATGACCCTAAATTGGCAGGAACGACCCTAAATTAGAAGAACGACCCTAAATTAACTACCCTAAATTAGCATAAATGACCCTAAACTACTGAAAACTGTCCTAAGCCAGCAGCCACATCCTGAAGTAGCAGAAGCTGCTCTAAACTAGCAGAAAGTGCCCTAAATTAGCAGGAAATACCCTAAATTGGCAGGAACGACCCTAAATTAACTACCCTAAATTAGCATAAATGACCCTAAACTACTGAAAACTATCCTAAACCAGCAGCCACATCCTAAACCAGCAGAAACTGCCCTAAACTAGCAGAAAGTGYCCTAAATTAGCAGAAATGACCCTAAACTACTGAAAATTGTCCTAAACCAGCAGCCATGATCCTAAATGAGCAGAAACTACCCTAAACTAGCAGAAAGTGCCCTAAATCATCAGGACCAACCCTAAACTAGCAGAAAGTACCCTAAATTAAGCAGAAAATACCCTAAAGTAGTTGTAATGACCCTGAACTTATAAAAACTATCCTAAACTAGCAGAAAGTGCCCTAAACTAGTAGAAAGTGTCCTAAATTATCAGSAGCAACCCTAAATTTGCAGAAAGTGACCTAAATTAGCAGAAACTGCCCTAAATTATCAGGGCCAGCCCTGAACCAGAAGAAACTGCCCTAAAGCAGTAATAATGACCCTAAATTGCCACAAACTATCCCAAACTAGCAGAAAGTGCCCTAAACCAGTAGAAAGTGCCCTAAATTATCAGGACCAACCCTAAATTTTCAGAAAGTGTCCTAAACTAACAGAAATTATCCTAAACGAACAGCAACAACCCCAACCTATCAGCAGCCACCCCACCCATGGTTGCTTTAAACCCCACGGGTGACAGAGACCCCATTCTCGGGATATTCCTGGGATATTCCCGGGATTCCCAGCGGGAATGGCGCTCCTGACTCACCGCTGCTCATCCAGAAGATGACGGGCTCGGGGAGGCCGGGCGGGGGGTTGCACTGGAGGCTCAGGGGAGCTCCTTCGTCCACCTCGATCACATCCACCTTCTCCTTGGGCCACAGCGGGGACTCTGCAGGGGGAGGAAAAGGGGTCAGGRAAGGACGGGAGGATCCCTCGGAGCGATTCCCGCCGGGTCCGGCCCGGTTTCAGCGTAAAATTTGTCATTTTGCATGTGCGGGATTCCCTGAAATCCAAACRCTGAAATCCGGACCCTCAAATCCAGAGCCTTAATCCATGGCCTGAAATACGGACCCTGAAATGCATTGCCTGAAATCCACATCCTTCAAATCCATCCCCTAAATTCATGCTTCAAATCCATATCCTTAAATCCATGCCCTGCAATCCTGAACCTCAAATCCTCATTTCAATGCAAATTTCATCTCTGTGTGTGCAAAACTCCCTCCAATCCTTACCCTCAAAATCCACACCCTGAAATTCATATCTTAATTCCACACCTTCAAATCCATCTCCCTAAACCATCCCAAAAACCCCAAAAATCCATTGCCCTAAATCCATCCACACCCTCAGATCCCTCCCCATAAGCCATCCCAATAATCCATAGCCCTAAACCCATAACCTCCGATCCACACCCTCAAATCCACATCCTCAGTTCCACACCCTCAAATCCCTCCCCATAAACCATCCCAAAACCCCCACAATTCCGTAGCCCTAAATCCACACCCTCAATTCCACACCCACAAATCCATCCCCATAAACCATCCCAAAACCCCTAAATCCAAACCTCCAATCCACACCCTCAAATCCCTCCCCATAAACCATCCCAATAATGGTTTATTGGGGATAGCCCCAATAAACCCCATAGCCCTAAATCCATAAGATCAAATCCTTCCCTCTAAACCATCCCAAAAGTCCAAAAATCCACACCCTAAAATTCATCCTCCTAAACCCTCCCCAAAACCTAAAAATCCATAGCCCTAAATCCACAACCTCCGATCCCACACCTTCAAATCCCTCCCCATCAACCATCCCAATAATCCATAGCCCTAAACCCATAAGCTCAAATCCTTCCTCCTAAACCATCCCAAAAATCCACAACCTCAGATCCACAACCTCAAATCCCTCCCTATAAACCATGCCAATAATCCATAGCCCTAAATCCATAAGCTCAAATCCTTCCCCCTAAACCATCCCAAAAATCCCAAAAATCCATAACCTCAGATCCGCAGCCTCAAATCCCTCCCGATAAACCATCCCAAAACCCCTAAAATCCATAGCCCTAAATCCATAACCTCCAATCCGCACCCTCAAATCCCTCCCTCTAAACCATCCCAAAAGTCCAAAAATCCACACCCTAAAATCCATCCTCCTAAACCCTCCCAAAACCCTGAAAATCCATAGCCCTAAATCCACAACCTCCGATCCACGCCGTCAAATCCCTCCCCATAAACCGTCCCAATAATCCATAGCCTCAAATCCGTAACCTCAAATCCACACCCTAAACCATCCCAAAAATCCATAACCTCAGACCCGCAGCCTCAAATCCCTCCCCATAAACCATCCCAAAACCCCTAAAATCCATAGCCCTAAATCCATAACCTCAAATCCACACCCTCAAATCCCTCCCTCTAAACCATCCCAAAAGTCCAAAAATCCACACCTTAAAATCCATCCTCCTAAACCCTCCCAAAAACTTGAAAATCCATAGCCCTAAATCCACAACCTCTGATCCACACCCTCAAATTCCTCCCCATAAACCATCCCAATAATCCATAGCCCTAAATACATAAGCTCAAATCCTTCCCCCTAAACCATCCCAAAAATCCCAAAAATCCATAACCTCGGATCCGCAGCCTCAAATCCCTCCCCGTAAACCATCCCAAAACCCCTAAAATCCATAGCCCTAAATCCATAACCTCAAATACGCACCCTCAAATCCCTCCCTCTAAACCATCCCAAAAGCCCAAAAATCCACACCCTAAAATCCATCCTCTTAAACCCTCCCAAAAACCTGAAGGTTTTTAGGATAGCCCTAAATCCACAACCTCCGATCCACGCCGTCAAATCCCTCCCCATAAACCATCCCAAAAATCCATAGCCCTAAATCCATAACCTCAAATCCACACCCTCAAATCTTTCCCCCTAAACTATCCCCAAAACCCCAAAAATCCATAACCTCAGATCCACACCCTCAAATCCCTCCCCATAAACCATCCCAATAATCCATAGCCCTAAATACATAACCTCAAATCTGCACCCTAAACCATCCCAAAAATCCATAACCTCAGATCCACAGCCTCAAATCCCTCCCCATAAACCATCCCAAAACCCCTAAAATCCATAGCCCTAAATCCAGAACCTATGATCCACACTCTCAAATCCACACCCTCAATTCCACACCCACAAATCCATCCCCATAAACCATCCCAAAAACCCCCAAAATCCATAGCCCTAAATCCACAACCTCCAATCCACACCTTCAAATCCCTCCCTATAAACCAACCCAAAAATCCATAACCCTAAATCCATAACCTCAAACCCGCACCCTAAACCATCCCAAAAATCCATAGCCCTAAATCCATAACTTCCAATCCAAACCCTCAAATCTACATCCTCAAATCCATGCCCTCAATTCCATCTCCTCAAACCCACCCCGAACAATTCCCCTCCACCTCCA